GACACGAACCCATGTCACGGGAATAATCCCATGTCGTGGAAGTTCGAGCTCCCACAGCGCTTGCGGCACCAACCTCACGTGGCAGCATCTTGGACAAGCGCGGTGCACAAAGCGTGCGTGAGCCTTCCCCCCAGCAGTCTTGATTGACTTTTTGACCATGTCATTAACGTGACCACCAAGTGTGATTCGCACGTTTCGAAGACTCGGCTGCAGCGAGGTTAAAAGCCAACAGCGCAACACGCATGGATTGTTATTTCTATAGGTCAGAACCAATCTTACGGTGTATGTACGTATATATACACATGTATATATACATATATATATATATATATATATATATTTCTATATATATATTTAAGGGCTGCCGCCCTGTGCCGCCGGCCCCTGTGGATCTTGAAACGAATGCCCGAGAGATCCGAAAGCTCGCGCTCTATTTTCACAGCACAGCCTAGAGCACTTACCACATGTATACATATGGCTATGTCTGGGCGTGAAAACTGTAACACCCCGCCTGAGAAGAGTCCCAATGGGATGTCTTCTCCCTACAGTTTCACCCCGAGCTTCAATAGCACTACTGGCTACCGGCTCAAACTGCGATGACCAGGGATAGCGCAAAAACGTGCACTCTTTGGTTGATACACAACCCAAATTAGTACCACCGGGCTTACACCATGCCCTCCATGCCACTGTCTTCAGGCGGCTGAAAAAAGCGATGCAGTCACCAAAGCCTTCGGGTGACTGCTTCCGTGTTGGCCCATTGCATCAGTATGAAAAGTCCTGCGCCTTTGTCTCACTTCCTTTTCTTGTCAATTTCCTTCTTCTTCTTCCCATCGCCTTCACCGCCACTCACTGGTGATAATGACTACTATGATGATGATCAGGGTGATGATGATGACCATGAGGATGATGATAAGGATGACGACGATGATGATAACTATCATCGCAGCATCCTCTGCATTACCAATGCATAAGAGATGTGAGGATAATGATGATAAGGATGAGGACTGTCATGATAACTATCATCGTAGCATCGTCTGCATTACCAATTGTGCCTAACGCCACAATTGAAATGTATATATAAAAGAAAGAGATGATGACAACCATCATGATGATGAAGGGTGATGATGACTGACCATCATGATGATGATGATAAGGGTGATGATAAGGATGAGGACTGTCATGATCATCGTAGCATCCTCTGCATTACCAATGCTGCCTAACGCCACAATTGAAATGTATAGATAAATGAAAGAGATGATGATGACCATCATGATGATGAAGGGCGATGATGACCACCATGATGATGATGATGATGATGATGATGATGATAAGGGTGATGATGATAACCATGAGGATGGTGATAAGGATGATGACGGTGATGATAAGTATCATCGTAGCATCGTCTGCATTACCAATGGTGCCTAACGCCACAATTGAAATGTATATATAAAAGAAAGAGATGATGATGATGGTGAGGATGACCACCATGATGAGATCCGGTTTGAGATGCAGAAGATGCGTAGCATTGGTAATGCAGAGGATGCTACGATGATAGTTATCATCACCGTCATCATCCTTATCACCATCCTCATGGTCATCATCATCACCCTTATCATCATCATCATCATCATCATCATCATCATCATCATCATCATCATCATCATCATCATCATCATCTAGCGGGAAACTCGAAAAGTGTATCAACAAGAGATAAGGACGATGACGATAATGATGATGATGACGAGCACCATGATGATAATGTAAGTAAGGACGATGACGATGATGATGATGATGATGAGCAGCATGAGCTGATGATTACGACCCATCTCGACCCAACTAACCTGGGGCAATGGCTTGAAGGCTACGCTGGTCGTGGATGGCATTTAGCAACACGTAGCATATCGGAAGTGTTTCTACAGCTGGAGATCATTTTGGATAGCCGGAATACCAAGCTTTGATCCTTCGAGATGTGTAGCCACCCTTCCCGTGCGCCTCGCCCTTGCGGACAAGGGGTCGGCGGATATATATGAGCGATATATACGAAGTTAGCAATCAATGAATCAATGTTGGCAGTTACTCCCAGTCCCCAACACAATGTTGCTTCGCAGACTGCTGGCAGGTTGTTTTTTCTGCCCGCTCCACAGAATCTCCTTACGCGGTTACCACTTCTGAATGTTCGGGTGGCAAGCGGCCTTAGTTGGGCGTCGTTGTTGGAGTTTCTACTTGGATGCTTTGAAAGGGAAACGGCATCCACAATTTGGGCTTCCCTGGAAAAACCACACCGACTTGGACGTTACATCATAGATGTACTGATCCTTTTGGTAGGCCATTTGAATATTCTAAATCGGCAAATTTCAACCACCGAATTGCCGGTTTGCCACTGAATTGCTTTCTTTCTAGGGGTATCGTCCCCATTCTTTTCAGCCATCGTCCTTTCAAAAACCAGCTATTTGCCCAGGGTTTTTTGGTGGTTTCTAGAAAGAAGGATCCCTGGAAAGAATGGGGAAGTTACCCCTAGATTGATAGGAACATGAGTTGCCCGGAGTGCTGCCTGGTTCCAGTCTGTGCAAAATATGTGGGGTTGGACCCCAATTGCCCGAGAGAACTTCCTGGTTGGCATTTCTTAGTTTGTTTGCGTGGCTGGCTGCAAAGTTTGCTTGCTGACATCTGTCTTTTGTTGCACCCAAACAAACTGCTGGTGGGTTTTCCTTTTGGCTTCCTTTTCAATCCACAAACTTAAAAAAAAACAACATTTTTTTCCAACAAGGTTTGGTCCCAAAATCCAAGTTTTTTGTTTTTTCCCCAAAAAAAGAAGTCCCAACTCCAAAAAGCAGTCCGACCCCATGCCCATGGCGCGGCCCCCGATCTTGCGGCCCGGGGCGGTTTTGCGCAGCGCTCAACTCGCCGAGGCGAGCTGCGGGGGGGTTGTTGCGGGGGGTTTCAGCCTTTGGCTTCTGGTCCTTGGCCGAAAACAGAAAACCGTTCAACCAACTTTTCTTGGTGGGTCCCAGCCATCCGGTTCCTTGGCCTTTTAGCCTTTTAGCCTTTTAGCCTTTTAATGTCTAGTGATAGTTTCCATCTCACCCACAAAAAGTTAGTCACTTTTAGCGGGGGATCTGAGGGCAGCCCAGTGTTGGGGAGCAAGGAGGCAGGAAGTCAAGAGAGCTTCTTGTGGGATTTGGCTTGGCCCAAGCTGAGTTTGGGCCCGGTCACTTGAAGCTGAGCTGTGAAAACACGCTTTTTTTGAGGTTGGTTCTGCATGGCACAGGTCAAGTCTGGACGTTTCCCAATCCATCTCATATCCCATGAGTTGCGCTTCAAACATGCTTGGAACTTGCGAACATAAATCGGCTCTTTCGGGCCCCACTGGCGAGTCCCTACATGTTGCACATTCGCAAGCGACACTATTTGGTGGTGTCCTCATTTGTGCAGGAAGAGACGTGTCATGGATCAAGGCTACCATTATTTTTCCTGTTTCAGGTATATCTTCCAGGTTACCTGTTGGCCCAATTTGGCCATGAATTTCCTTGGTGATGTGTTTCCTTCGCCTGAATCTGGGCAACCGCCTTCAAACGGGAGGTCCTGTCAACAGTTAGTTTGGCAGGACGTTTCTGCAAAGCCCTGCGGTGTCCTTTTAGGTCGTTGGTGAACGTCGACGGCACTGGTTTTGGTCGTTCCAATCATTTGCCAATGCCATCCACTTGTCCAAAAAGACCCTTCCTAGGCCTGGGGTGCTTCGCTGAGCTTCACTGCGTCACTTTGTGTCGCATGCATTGGTCAGAATTTTGTGTCCATCCATTTGAAAGGTCCCACAATGGGGTTGGTTTATACCTGCACAGCTACTGGCTTGCAACTTCCTGCACCTGGCACCCACGACTTGTTCCACTTATGCTTGCCAGCTTGGTTTTATTCCAACAACAGGAGAACAGGACTGGAAGGGCCAATGACGCGTTGATTAGCTGCCAGACCCGTTTTTGAACGAGATTGGGCAGCACCACCATTTGCTTTACCGTTTGAACTACTGATCTGTCAAACTTGTGGCCATTCCCTTGTGTATCAGGTCCACTCCTTACTTCTGTATGGCCGTTTTGGCGCGAGCCTATGTGGCTATGTGTGTTTTCGGGGGCGAACACCCTCAAACATAGCTGTTGGACATAAAGCCCCAAATTCTACACTTTCCCAGAACCTCTACCCTGCAGGAAAATTCCAGATATAATATTTTCCCTGTATATAATGGCTATTCTTTAAACCCGGTAGTGGAAACCAGCTTAGGCAAATGCTGTCCACCGAATGGTCCCCGTTGAAACTCATAGCCATGTAGTCGTTTACAGCCACCTTGGCAGGGACAGGCACTGCCCGGGTGGATAAGGGTCCCATTTGCTATGTGCCGAAATCAAAGGACACGTTTGGAAATTAGCAGGTCAAGGGATTTTTGACATCATGCGGCCGTGTCCTGTTTGAGGGCCCCTCTTGTCTGTGCTGTTTAACGGGCCACCATTTTAGGGGGTCTAACAAAAAGACACGCGCCATGTCGAAGCGAGGCTCTGCGGCTCCTCGCCAAGGATGGCTGCTTTCTCAGCTTGGGTCTGGAGAGGTTTTGCAGACCCCACCGGGCCCCGAACTGGTGGCTTGTCATGGCGAAGCTGTTGATGGGCATATAAGAAGCTCCTTGGGAAAGAGTCCCTTTAAGGTAACATATTTTGAGCAACAACAATGGCCATGATGTAGCTTACATTGCAGTGGGCTGCCAGCTGCAACCTTCTTGGGCCAACTCGGTATCAGGTTCAAGGAGCGAGGAGAGGAGTCGGCATATCGGCTGTGCCAGCAACAGTTCCAAGCACCGCCGCATCAGCGAAACACTGCAGCCAGTGATGGCTGCACAGAAACAAATGAGACGTGAAAGGGGCAAATAATGACGGACGCGTGCTCCAGATTCCCTTAGGGTTTTCTCACTGCTTGAGTTCGAACATAGCCTGCCCAGACAAGGTGAACAAAAAGACAAACAGCGGCACTTCCTCTTGCCCCTCTTGCCATGTTGCTGCCCACAAGTGGATGATGGGTGAGATTGCCAAGAGTACGTGTGTTGTTTCCAGCCTGCTTGCCTTCGTGCTGGGGATTCTGGTGTGCCAGAACCAGCCACTCGGCCGAAGCCGTTTGCTAGAGCCCGAAGTCAGCATACCCACCCGTCCCTTCGCATACCACAGGGACAATTTCAGGTTGCTGACATCGAGACCAACATTTGGCTCCTTCGACGAAATCGTTTTTTGTTTTTTTTTGTTTAGCCACTTATGGCAAACACCATGGCAATTACTCCCAAATGAACATGGAAGCCAAGGGGATCCATGCCCCCCAAAGGCTAGAAACGGTCGTTTTGGGCTCCATGTTAATATGCCGGGGAGCTTGCTTGATTTGTCCATGGTTTCAAAGGGACAGCTCCCTACGCTCACCAGAGTTCAAATTTGTTTTCATTAGGGTTGTGCAGCATCAAAAAAAATAAACGACCGGACCCTGCTCCCCGCGAAACCGGGAGCACAACGGAGGTTGGTACAACAATGGGCGTTTGCGCATATTAATTCTTTGTGCGTACGTGTGGGGAGGCGTTGTCACCCTGAAAGGGAAACCAACAGGAAACCCCACTCAGTTTTTGGGGTCCCCTATAGTGAGCACATCCTCAAACATGATTGGACCAAAAAAACTTATGACGATGTCAACCACAGGATCCCTGTAGTTACATCCCAAACCCATCTGGCGAACAAATGCAAATGGGACTCGAAGCCCCCTGTGGGCTGACAATGGGACTCGAAGCCAAAAGTTGAGCTGACCATTGCTTTGTAAGGGGTCTGTTGCCAGCCCGCTTGGCTTTCCCAGTCCCCTTTTCTTGCTGGTTCTCGGCGGGGAATGAGTTGGAATGACCCCCAGAAACCGCATAAACCGTCCCGTATGGCTGCCATCCGCAAAACAAAACACAATCGGTTCATTCCACCAAACACCGGAATCCACAAAACCGGTTCCTCCCAAAACCCGGCAACTCGGATCCGTCATTCTCTACATATGGCGCCTGCAAGCTATGGTTCTTTGTCTGGGCTGCTCAGTGGCGACGCTTTCCCGTTCCAGCAAAGCACAGATGTGAAACCGGGAAGTGGGTTCTCTTGAGGTCCAAAAGCCATTCTTGCTGGTGCGATAGGCATTGTGGGAACGAATCCAGGCTTTGGTCCCCAAGGAAACCGCACAAGTTGGATGTTTTTTTTCGTTGGGTCCTTCCATTTCTCATTCCTCTGCGTATAGTGCAACGATCGCAAGCTTACAAGGGAATGTTGCATCCACTTTTTCACCGGGCTTTTTTCCGCGGACCCCGACACGACGAGAAGCCCAGCAACGTTCGTTCAGTGGTGCTTTATGTTTGTCAAAGCCAACAGGGAAGTTTCCCATAGGCATAGATAACCCAGGAACATTTCCTACATCACCCAAGTCAACATGGAAGTTTCCCACATGGATAACCCGGCCATGTTTATCTCGGCAAGCTTTGGACCCCAACGTCCTTTCTTCTCAGGGAGTGAACTGGAAAGAAGGGGAGCTGGTGGTGAAACGAGGACTCCTATTCATAATAGACCCTTTTTCTTGTGGGAGTCCCGAAGAAAGGAAACCGACGGGTTTCCATTTTTTGGTTCCCATCGCAGCGATCGCAGCGAGCGGATTTTTCTCCTCGCGGCCGTGCCGTCGGTTGCCGGCCTCAGGTCTCGGGGCCTGGCGTGGGTGGCGGAGCTCCAGAAGATCCGCGCCGACGGCACGGCGCCTGGGACGCAAGCGGCGGAGGGTCGAGGTTGGGGGGTGGGGGTTGGGGGTGGGTGGGTTGGGGGGGATTGGGGGGGGTTGGGTGGGGGGTCGGGGTTGGGGGTTGGGTTCTCTAAATGGGCGAGGTGGATATGCGCACTTCTTGAATTCGGGGGACTTCAGGCGGCTTTTTGGAAGACCCTTTTTGGGGCAGAGAACCAGTTTGGACTTTGTTGGGCCTTGGGCCAAGAGTGTGTGTGGGGTCGACATGTACATTGGGCCGAGCACAGCACGAAGCGTCAGCGACGCGAAAGGAAGGAGCAGCGCCGGCCAAGTGGCAATTCACATACGCGAGTCACGGAACCAAGCGACGCGGGGCTCTGCGTGCAAGTTGCTAGCAATGGACAGGTTCTGGCGTCGTGCCAGCCCGGAGTTGCACCGGTTTTAAGCTTGGATTTGATTGGTTTCTAGAGGGGGGGGGTTTTGATTGGTTTGTAGAGGGGTTTGGCCGGAGTTGGACAGGATTGTGACCGGTTTCCAGGGCCTGACCTCACAAAGGGGCTTGAGGCAGCTGGAGCCTGGTTTTGGGTGCACATGGAAATTTTGGTGCTTCCACCTCATTTTTTTTCCAGAGCTAAGTCGCTTTAACATTCCAGTAGATTTGTTGGTGGGGATGTGATTGGCGATGGGTAAATGAGCAAACACGCTGTGTTTCACAGAGTTGTTTGGCCCAGATGGTGCTGGGAACTAGGCGAAACACAGTTTGGGAGTAAATGCATGGTGGCCTTTGCAGCAAGCGCGATGCACTTTCCCTAGCCCTTCGTGATCCCCTAGTATTCCTAGCAGTCCCCTGTTATCCACCTAGTAGTCCCCTGTTTCAGTATTCTACTAGCCCTCTAGTACTCCCTCAGTGTCCCCTTAGTAGTCCTGTAGTACTCCCCAAGCACTCTTTCAGTAGTGTCACCCTGAGTACTTCCCTTAAGTTCCCCTAGTGCCCCCTTCCCCAGTATTCTCTATCCTTAGTAGTTTCTTGTTCCCCCAATATTCTCTTCGTATTCCCCCTGTTCTTCCCCTATTATCCCCTCAGGTTTCTGACAGTAGTCTCTTCGGATTCCAAGATATTCCCTTGAATTTCTTGAGAATTCCCAATTATTCTCTTAATATTCCCCTAGCGTTCCCCTATTTCTTCAGTATTCTCTTGCCCCTATGGTTCCCTCGGTACTTCCCGTGTTTGAAAAGAGGGTGGGCGTATGTTAAGGTCCTTAAATTTTCAGTTTGGATGGATTAGTAGTTGAATTATCACAGGATGGATGCCGGGCCAGTTGTTATTGAGTTGGTGTTGGCGGAGTGGTGTTTTGAGGCGGCAAGAAAGGACGTGTTTGTTGGGGGGTCTCCAAGAGAAGGCTGTGGGAGTTGGGCTGTGCTCCCCCTCTGTTGTGGAAGATGTCGGTTTTGAGGAAGTCCAGGTGGCGCGGTGAACCAATGTAACCCCCTTCATGGTTGCATTGTCATGCAGATAAGAATCCCACGTTGGAATCACGCGGCTCGCGATTCAACCCCCATTCAAAGAATGGTTGACCCAATTTGGATGATGAATTAATAGTGGGTATATTAACCCCTTTGGTAACTGCACCCCGCAGTTTTCACTGTACCTTGTGAGGGAACTTCCCTTAGACCAAGGTGTTGAAACATGACTTCTGGTTCTTTGGAAAAATGAGTCAGACCTCAACATTTCTTGGGCTAAGCTGAAAGGTTCGTTGGTTGTGGAGACATCCCCAAGCATAGGTTCGGCACACGTAAAAAAAGGGTGTTGGGCCATCCAAATGTGACTGCTTGGGGCATACCGTGTGTGTGTGTGTGTGTGTGTGTGTGTGTGTGTGTGTGTGTGTGTGTGTGTGTGTGTGTGTGTGTGTGTGTGTGTGTGTGTGTGTGTGTGTGTGTGTGTGTGTGTGTGTGTGTGTGTGTGTGTGTGTGTGTTTGTGCGCTCACTGTTTAGTTGTGGTGTCGTTGAAGCCCCACCGACTTGTTCAAAACTGACAACAGACAGCCTGTCTGACACCAAAATTACATCGCCTTGCTTCGGTCTCCGACTGGAACCGGCCAATATGAGGTGCTTTGTCCGTGTGAAGCCGTCTCGGTTTTCCGCACCCAACAAGGGCCTCCCTCACAAGCGACGTATTTCCTTGGTGGTTTCTAGCCACCCCCTTAAACTTTTCGGTTCTTAGGGTCTAGGGGGGCGGGGTTGTCCATTCAGCCCACAACAAGTTAAACAGTTTTAGCAGGGGATCTGAGCACGGAGCGCCCGGTTTCGCTTGTTTTCCGAGGTCACTCTCGCGCCGTCCTCCCCAGCCCTCGTCGCCTCCGAGCCATCCCCGCCTTCGGCGCCGCCGCCATCGGCGTCGGCGCCTCCGGCGTCCCCGGTGGCGCCTCTGGCGCCGCGGGGCGTGAAGAGCCGATGCTTGGACGACAGGCGCACGAGCCGACGAGAAATAGGGGGGCCGTTGTTTCCCCAAGACCTCATTTAAGGCCGTTCCGTTGCTTGAAGAGGAGCCCAAGATCTCATTCAAGGCCTTTCCGTTGCTTGGAGAGGAGCCCATGACCTCATTTGAGGCAACTTGGGGGTTGAAGGCCCTCATACCTACTGTAGGGTCCAGGGGCTCTAGGCCCTAGACTTTCCAAAGGACATTAAATAAATGGCCGAGGTGGTAAAGTACATTTTCCGGGAAAAGGCTATTTTTTGCTTAAATTTGGTTGGATCATGATTTGCACGATAATCCCACTTAAGAGTAGCTGGAAGGGGCTGCGCAGTGCAATTTTGCCGAGCTTGAGAGTGCTTCGTGTGCTTCGCATTGCCTTCTGCAGAAGTTTGCCAACGTCAGCCACGGGGCACGGCTCGGGAACTGTTTATTTGATATATGCATGTACTGGTCCAGCATACATGCATCGATCCATGCATGCATATTTGGCTCACAAGTCTTTGACTGCCCAATTGCCAAGCCAGAAAAGAGCAACAAAGTCCTGAGAAGTCACGTGCCGCGAATTGACACCAAAATGGTGCAAAAACGGGGTGTGCAGAAAATGTCTTTTCTACGGCAATAAATGGCCGTTCTACGGCAGAAAATATACTTTCTACGGCAGAAAATGCACTTTCTACGGTTTGTCCACGGTCCCTCTCGGTCGCAAGTTGCAAGCAACGACGAGCAACGAGCTCAACAAATCTCGGTTGTACGACTCGACCTGATGTGAATCCTGATTTTGCTATGTGTTTCCCCTTCTGCGGAATTAAGTACCCCTGACTTAAACCATTACTTTTCGTAGCGGTTTTTTGCTTGCCTATGGTTTTCCCGAATGGTTTGCCTGTGGTCTATGATATGTCTACGGTATGTATATGGTTTGTCTATCGTGTCAATTTGCCCTGATCAGAGCACTCGAAGAAATTGGGCCCCCATAGTGGATGCAAAACATGTCCCTTCGCGAGCAAAAAAATGCCCGTTGTCCCACGGACATTTATTTGATGGCCGAGGAAGTTCTGGGTAGGACTTTACAGAAATGGCGTTATCGCGAAGGTGCAACTGTCCTTTGGTGCCAGCGCTCGGCACCTGTTCGTTAGAGGCTGGGGTCGGAGCAGTGTCAAAAGGCCCAAGGAGTGAGTCTTTCCGTTTTGCACCAAAAGAAGAAATGGTCCGCAAAACCACCTGGAAATTTAATAACTTGGTGCCTTTGGATTTTGTGCATCCGCAGGGTCCCGGCACAAACAAAAGCAACCAAACCAAACAAAACAACCTAACAAGCAGAATAAGAACAATTTTTCGAACAAAATCACAACGGCCGGGCCCCGTTAGGTGCAGCCAAGTGTCTCCACGCTGCCGATCTGATGTCTTCCGGTCCCGGGACTACCGTTGTCCTTCCGACGACTGGGTGAAGCGACCCGGCCATTTATGGCGGGGGGTGCATTGGCTGCATTCGGTGCATTGGAGGCCTTGGGTCCTACCTCACCTCCTGAGGTCCGTTTCGAGCTTTAGTCACTTTTCGGGTAGACCGTTTTAGTGGTTATAAACAAAATAAGGACTTTTTGTTACTAATGCACTCAGGACATACATGTTGCCAACGCATTCGGTACCAAGCTTTGACCTGAATTGTCTGGGAATGGTTTTCAGCGAGAACCAAACATGAATGAGTTCTTTGACGGGCTGGTATCCGTCCTTGGTGGGGCCTTTGGGTCCAATTCTTATCCCAGTTGCCAGTTGTCCAGTGGCGCCCCTTCTTTCATTGTTTCTTTTATTATTATTCTTATTATGATTTATTATTACTATTTCCCTTTAAATTCCAACCAACAAAGGATGCCCCTGTTGTAGTAGAAGGGGATGCCAGCAGATAAGTTGTTGATTGTTTCAAAAGGATCCCCTGCTGCAGCTATGACAATGTGGGCCATATTGCGCCTTCATGGGGTGTCGCGTTCTTCCAACTTCTAACCTTTCTACTGCAGGATCCCCTGCTTCACCAAAAGGATGACCCCTTTTCCTGGAAGGATTCAGGATACCAGAGTACCTCCTTATGCAAAATCCACCATTGATAAGGCCGTGTTTGCTCCAATGTACCACGGAAGTGAAGGGCAGGACCAGGAGGAAAGAGCGGGCAAAACCCGGAGCTACTTTCTTGACTGCTATCGGTTGGGTCTTTACACTTTAACTTTTTGGAAAATCATGGGTTTTTCCACTAAACCCACAAAAAGTTAAGCTTTTTGCAGAGGGGTCAACAGCAACCAAGCTTTGTTTTTGTTGGGTTTCTTTTGGTGACGGGTTTCAGCATCCGCAGTTTCGAGACCATCTCATGGGAAATTCCCACAGGTAGACCTTTGCATCCTTTGTTCAATTCCCCCAACTAGTTTAAAGTTCAAGAATGAACAATTGTTGGTGTCATGTTTGTTTTTCTGGGAGAGTGTCATGCAGGCTTACATTAAACGGAGTGGTAGAAGTAAGCATCGCCGGGCTTCGAGCATCACCCAGTCAGCAAGTTCACATAGTATGGATGAGTCAAATCAGGAATATGCTTGTTTGGGCAAAGCAGTCCGGTCAGTGTTCGAAGGACTTGTGTGGCAAACCGAGCATGCAGAACAGCGGCTTTGCCTCCCTTAAAGGGAACCACCGTATGTTTACCCTCTCAAGAACTGCAGAGCTTGGTTATAGCACGTGCTCAGAGTTCTCAGGACTTGTGAATATTGTGTTCAAACTTAGTTGCAATCCACGGAGTCTTTGGAGATTTGGGCGGATCTAAAAAGTTCATGGGGATAGCCAGACCACTCCTTGACTAGCCACTCCTGGACCCACAAAGCCAGCCAGTTCTGAAGTCAGACACTGAAACCGTCGGTGAAACCCTTGGCGGAGGGCAGTGGTTCCTTCCAAAAGTGCGCAACAGTCCACTTCCATTTGCTGAAATTAATATAGAAATTGGGGGAGTTGGGTGACCCCTGGGATTCCATTTCTGGGGGGACTAGTACTGATCCTCTATTTGCTGAAATGAATATTTGTTTATTCTCCCTTTTTGGTTTTGAAGGGAATCGACTTCACTGCTGGACATATGATATTTTTTTTGGGGGGGGAGTTCAGCAAATGGAAGTCCCTGAAAGCAGGACTCTTCCTACTTCCTGGGCCGCTGAACTGTTCCTTCCGGCCCGAGATCCACCTCAGGGCTTCCGGGTACCATTCTAGCAGGTGACCTGGGGCAACCATGATGTAAAACAAGGTAAGAATACAATAGGTTACCTAATGTAGTGGAAACCATGAAAAACACACACACACAACAACAAAGAAACACAATAGGTTACTTAACGTAGTGGTAACCATGTTAACAAGAACAACTTGTTACCTACGTAACTGGAAGCGCTGGGTCCAGCGACCAACGCGCTCCAATTGCTTTTCGGGGCCTCGCGCAGAAGCGAGGAAGATGGCAGAAGTGGACCCCAATCCCGACAAGGCAGGAGGACAAAGATGACCTTCGGGGGACACAAAAACGACACCAAAACAGGGTTGCGGGATCACAATGGGTTTATCCGATACCACTTCTGTGACACAAGTTGGAATTTTCTCTTTTGCTTGGGGTTAGTCTTCAGGCCCTTTTTGTTGTATCACAGACCCTGCTTTGGGCCTCATGATTGGGGTCCAAGGGGCTCCTAGGGAAAAGGACACCCCCGACTTTAGGCAACCGCCCATTTTAAGAAGGTCCCCTATTTTAACACGCAGTTGATCCCAGCCTGACAAAGGGGCACCCTGAGGCTAAGAACCGTTGGGAAGTGAAGGCCTCGACAGTGAGGCAAGTGGTACCTTCCGATTCGACCCATCGATGTGTACGGCTCGGAACCTTTGTCTGGGTGAGACCTGCGGATCCATCCACAGGATGATGCGACTTTTGCAGACACGGCAAACATGCAAGAGATGGCCTGATGGCAAATATTGAGCTAATTGTTGAGCTGTCTGGGAATGGGCCCTCTATGGTTTGAGGAGATGACATGCGCTGCCACACGCCAAACAAAAGCAAGACGTGTTTTTTTGTGATTTTGCTGTATTTGTTTCTTTTTTGGGGTGCTCGTTGTCCTCTCCAGATCGGAAAGGGGGCGGACGTTGGACCAGGCAACGGCCGTATGCGAGGTCATCATGAATGTCGGGTGCAACAAGGGCCACGACTCCATCGCCTGGCTGCAGATGTTCGACCAAGAGCCCACCTGGGATCTCAAAAAATGGGCACGCTCTGTGCCGAACGGCCCCTGCAAGGTCGACTCAGATGCTCGCCGGGCAACCACCAAAGGGTAGTGTCCTTGTGCCTTCCTTCTGACGCTAGCCAAAAGTGCTTATGTATATATATATATACGCACACGCATGTTTGCTTGCTCGCATGCTTGCACTTGACTTGGTGTTCTGCAACATCACTCTCGAAAGGTGACTTTCAAGATAAGAGTTGGAGCAATGACAAGCGCTCCTCTTGAAGTAGTCTTGAGAACCATTCTGTTCAGCTTGGCTTCAACGTATGTCCGATGTTTTTTTTTGCTTGGCTGAAAGTTTATATAGAAGCTGGAAGATCCGTAAAACGTACGGTTACCATTTTCCCGGAGGGGTCCCAAGGGATACTCAGACCCATGAAAAAGCCTCTCAAAGCCATCCTCAACAGGGACCCTGGCAGGTGGGTTAGGGCAAACTCCTACAGTTACATGGTTGTTGTTGGGAAACATTTTAGATTTTTGCTTATTAGTTTAGTGGTTGAAATTCAACCACTTAACTGCACATTTATAAAAGCTAAACATTAAATTGTTGTTCCCCTTCCAACGTCAACCAAGCTTAAGGGAAATTTGAGGGTAGCCTCTACCCACAACACACCCTCTGGTTGCACTCCCAACGCCGAGGACCTGCCAAGACCCCCGAGCTTTTCCTCGTCCAAGGGCCCAGTGGCGGTGTGTGTGGAAGCTGCGCCCCAGAACGTGAAGCTGCTGAAGACCCCCGACCACGAGTTGTTGTTGTGTTTTTCTTTTTTTTTGGGGGGGGGGTTGGGCCAATCTTGACCTTCAGATTGGGGTCTGTCTCTTTTTGTGGGTGGGGGGGGGGGCTGTGCGGCCAATTTGGTGTTTACAAAGACCATTTTTTTCTTGTTTTGGGTGGGTGGGGGGGTGGGTGGGCGGGGGGGGGGGAATGGTTGGGACACTTCTGTAGGATCATACCTTGTTGCGCCCAAATTGTTGGGATCCCTTTTTGCGGACCATTTTTGTTGGGCGGGGGGGCAAATGGTTGGGACCCCTTTTTTGGGCACAAGTGATTTGTGGAGGGTCACGACTCCCTGACTCCCTTGTAAACTTTCAGGTTGCCAGTCGGTGGTTTGGATTGCTACCAATTCTGATTGGTGTCAAGACACCAGGAAAACCGCCCACGTTTTCCGTGTCCCATCTTCCCGGCAGAGGCTTTTCATCCTCCTTTCCCTGGGAGCCCCGTAACAACCCTATGAGGTCCTTTAACCCCCAAAGGCCTCCCAGGGTTTTGCCCTCTGCGCCTTCGGGTTTCCATGAGACTTCATTAATTCGCTGCTCAAGTTCAGCATTCTGGCATTCCTGTGCTTTTGACTGCTTCCTTCGCCATTTGTGTTGTAGCTTAGGACCTTGTGTTCACTTGACAGCCTCTCGGGTGTCCATCTCTCGCTTCTGGCCTCCAGGAAGGTGCAGAAGAAGTTCGGCTACGAGCCGTCGGCTTCGGGGGGCTTCCACGTGGTGCACGCCGCGGTGATGGACGTCGCCCGGCCCGGCAGCACCGTGAGCTTCCCTGATGCGCCAGCAGGCGTGTGGCTCCATGAAGGGATGTAGTTTTTGTTTTTGTTTGAAATGGGTGGTTTGTTTTGTTGAAGGTTGGACATTCCAAAATGAAGTCAGTTGTCCTTTCGGTTTCCCTTTGAAATTACCAAAAAGAAAAAGAGGTGTAGCCTCGAAAAATGACACTGAAAAGATGAATCCAGCCCATGTGTAACTTGTCCACAAGGGGCCAAAATGGGACGGACCATTTCTTCATTTATCCAGACACGCCCCAAACAAGTTGGAATCAAGACCTTTGCCATGTTGCTGAGTCAGCCTCAGGCCAAAACGATTTTGTTGTGTTTCGTTTGCCAAAGTTCCCAAATCAACTTCAAGCGACAAGGAAAGGGCTTGTTTTGTCGTGCTTTTTTGGCCATGGACAATGCTCTTCTGAGGTGGTGTTGATTCAATTTTGAGGTGGACCTTTAATTTCCGAGTTCTTGTGACAAGTGAGGAGCAAGCGCTTCCTCCTTGCCTTTTTTTTCCAGAATGACGGTCGCATGTTTAGGGATAGTTTGAACCTCAAACTAGCCATGACAATGGGTGATTGCCCCAAACATATGAGGTGGTGACACCGGGAGGTGTCCCTTTTTTATGTGTGGTTTGCCATTTGTGGGTGGTTTGACAGGGCTCCTTAAAATATACATTTCGCTCATTTGAAACATGGCTTTTTCCAAGAAACCACCATTTACAGGGCAATGTTCAGGTGTAAAATGTAAGGATCCCTGTTTGAGGGTCCAGGTAGTTTGAAGATAAAATACCTATTCTTTGCTGTTTGGCCAGGCCAGGAGCGAGCCGGGCTGTCATACCGCGACAAGAGCTGGAAGATGACAACTGTCCCAGCAGAGACTGTGGACACGCTGGCGCTGAAGTTCAAGTTTCCCAAAGAAGCTCGGCGAAGCTTCACAAAGGATGCCGTTGCAAGAAAACAAAGGATGCTCTAGGAGCCCAAGACTTTAAATTTTGGGGCCTTGTGGGGGTTGAAGGCACTCATATTTAGGGTCCCAGGGGCTCCTATGTAAATGCCACATTTGTTGAAACAACCAGATCCGATTCGGTGCCCTAAAACCGAAAAGGAGGTGGTTTGAAGAGGAGTTTAAGGATGTTCTTTAACCAGCGGCTGGCCTTGGACCCTGTCGGCTTCGTGTTCAAGAGAGGGTGGGTTTCCTGAAGGACTGAAGAAATCCAGAGGAAGGCCACCAGCTTGGGGCCTTTGGGGCTTCTAATTTTACACAAACCATCTACAGGAATGCAGCTCCGGACTCCCTGCAGTCTGCAATGGGCGACTCCAAAGACCGGAGCCAGCAGCAATGCCACGGTGAGCTTGCAGAGCCAAGATTTGATCGATCTTCTCTGCAAACCACCTTGGAAACAAAAGAAAGACACTGAGAGAGTGTTCATCTTGCAGGGGATCCTCCACGCATCACCAGCATCCGCTGCAATTAGCATCATCATGCAAGCAATTGGACAATGGCCGGCAGCGCGGGCACGGTTCAAACACAAGGACCCACCTAACAAAAACTGAACAGACCTTCAGCACCGGAAATAGCGTCAAAGCGGGTGCGCATGCGCCATCACCTCTAAGAACCCTATCATCACTGGCGTCGCCGGCAACAGCGAGTATGCCAAAAGTAATCGACATTTAAATGATGAAGACAAGACATTGAAAGGGGCCCCCAGCTCATCTGAACATGAAAAGCGCGAAAACCAGCCTGCCAGCAAAGAGCTCACGCAGAACCCGACAAAAGTTTCCGCCGAGCCACCCCTGAGATGTGTTTCTTGTTCTCAGCCCGGCGCCCGGCTGCAACCTCCGTTGCTGAGGGATGCGTGAAGGGGACACCTTCAGGAGCTGGCAGCTGGCATCATCAAAACCCTTCGAAGAAGCTTGCGCAAGACGCCAAATTCGGTGGATACGCCCGGATAGGCCAACAATAAGCCCTTCATAAGGCCTCATTAAGGGGTGAACAAGGGACAGCCCCCCCCGTCCCCATAGCCTCCCTTGAGGATCCATGACAAATCGTTCGCGATGCGAAAAGTCGGCGGCGAGACTGGCGGCCAGATCGCGATCTCACAGCGTACGTTCGGGAAATCCGTCAAGCGAGTGGTCTGTAACACCCCCCTGGCGTCAAAAACAAGCTGGGTCCCCTCGGACCATGAACGACCCTGGTGCGCAAAAGCGGCATTTTCAATCACGCCCAGGTGGTGTCTTTTTAGGAGACCCTCCTTAATGTGGTTTCCCGGTTCACGTTTTAAACGGCTCCAAAACAAGTATCCTCAAACGGGACACCAAGGTGGACGTTCTCATCATTGACACGGAGGGCGCAGATCCGGCTGTCCTGGACGGTGCCAAGGAGAGCGCAGAGTTGTCCGGCCGACAAGGCGCATGCTGAAACCCCCGCAGGCCTGAAACAAAAACAGCTTTTCGGTCGGCCTTTGACCCGAGAGGGTTGTTCCAACTCATGAATCAATGTTGAAACTGCGGTTTGAGATGTTTTTTTGAGCATTGAGCTAGTTAAAGAAAAGAGTCTAGACTGCCTTGAACTTTTCCCCGTAGCCAGTTGAAAGAAGCACTCCAAGAGGTCGGGTCCCTGACCAGCTTTCTTGCTCGCCGGGTCCCTTGTGTCAACGGAGATTTCCAGGGCTCCCTACAATTGCCCAAGAGGGACTCATCTCATGGCCCAAAAAAGGTGTATAGATCCACCTGGACCCTCAAACAGGGTGAGTTTGGAGCGATCTCCTATTTTTGAGGGCAATTTGAGGTTCCAGGCACAAAAAGGAGGACACGTAGGGACTTCGGATGTTCACAAGGAGACGCTGAAAACGGTGCGGTACCTGCTCTTCGAGGTTCACCGCGACCTTAAGGCGAGTTAAACTCGAGCGCGCCCCTTTTGATTGCCAGAGGGACATGGGGTAACTTTTCCCAGGCTCGAATCTTCTTCTACAAATTGCAAAATTTGGGGAGGGATCAACCCCTAAATCGTGGCACAAAGGTGGGTCATGTGAATTCGCCGGGGAGTATGGCCCATGTCTTTTTTCATGGGAACCTCCAACGTGAAATCCACAAGATGATGTCCACCAAGGGTCCCCTACTCAAATTCGTGCCCATCATAGGGTTGACAGACTATGAGGCAGAGTCGAAGCATGTTTTTTCTATGCCCCAGATGTGAGGCAAACATATGTCACCCACTATAGGTAAGACAAATATGACACGAATCTGAACAAACATATACGTGTATTTATATATATATATATATAACACATAAAGAAATATGTATTTCTGTGCCCCCAGATTTGGCCCATGTGACCTCATTCCCTGTGGGCAACCAGGAAAACCCTTCAAAACCTGGCGAATGATTACCCGGTTGCTGGGATCCCCTGGGTGCAATGGGGGCCAAATGAATCGTCCATGGTTGCTTTCACTAGAGAATAACCAACACCCCCTTTTCTGCCCGCCGCCCCCATACATAACCATAAAATCGATCCCACCCCATTGTTTTGGTTTGAGGCTCTTCTCATGTTTGCCGTTTAGGCCCTAAGCATTGAACCCATGTTCACCCAACGTGCCATTCACTTGCAGATCGCCTGATGGGCTTGTGAGTGTGGCCGGGGATGACATTCAAATCAAAGAAGTGGGACTGACTTCGTTGGTGTTTACTTGTTGGACGGCACTCCTACCCTGCGCCAAATCCTCCCAGCATCACACTTCCGATACGTGTGTTTGTTCTCGAGGATCGACGCTGTGCGGTGATGTTATGTGGTGTTCAAGCCAAACAATGTGGAGCTTCCGCTATTTGGAGGCAAGCCTGTAAGAGAGTTTCCACACCCAAACCACAATCCCAGGTAAACTAGGAGGTACTTAACTTAGATAACCTGCTTGTGGTTGTGTAGTGGCCACTGGCTACGCCATTTTCTGGGGGTTGTGAGGGGCAGTGGAACCCTGAACACTCGGAAGCTTGGAGATCCCCAGTCTCCCCATTCCAACCATTGCTGCTCTTCCAAAGCACAACCGTGTTTGTCCAAGTAGTGGATCCCCAAAATGGGGGGGGTCCTTTTGCTTTTCTTCAGGCCAACCTACCAAGGGGTACCCTCAAAAGATCGCAACCACATAGGAGAAATCGCCTTCTGCGCGCACTTGAAGTTGCTTTTTTTGTTGATTGAGGGCTCCCACTGGTCGAAGCGCACCCTTCTCTCGGTGGTGCAGATGCTGGACAGCCGAGGCCGAGAAAGTACTCTACCCTTTTCTCGAGGTGTCCAAAGCGAATCGACCGAAACAGACCTTTTGGTTTCCCTCGGGTTGGTTTCCATTTTTTCGATCCCGGCTCAAAAGGTGATCACCTTTTGTTGATGGGTCCTCAGGGGCAACTCATCGACCTTTTGACCTTTTGGTTTCCCTGATTTGGTCCAGGTTGAGGCACCCCAAAGGTGACAACCTTTTATGTATGGGTCCTCAGGGGCAACTGAGTGTTTGGATGGCTTACACCCAACCGGGGTCTCCTCCAAAGGGTGGACTGATGGCAAATATGCTGAGCACCAAGCTAAAGGCAAGCAAGGGAAAAACAAAAAACGAAAGGGAAAACCAGTGGCATAAATCTGCCCAGAATGGAGTTGGAACCCAATTCTAGGAGCCCAAGACATCATTTCAGGCCTTTGGGGGTTGAAGGCCCTCATAGTTAGGGTCCAAGGGGTTCCTGGCGCAATGAATATAAAGGCAAAGCAATTCCTATCACTTCTAAGGGTCCAACTCGTTTGTGACGCATGGACAACCTATATTGAATCTGCCTATTTTGTGGCGAGCTCACGGATTCGGTAAAAGCCCGTGAAGGAAAAACCCTGGTTTCTGATTCGATTCCCCTCTATATAAAAGCGGCAAGAATGGTTTCAACCAGGATTTCACCCCGTGGTGCGGAATGGATTTCCCAACTTTCACCGTATTGTGTGAGCAAAACAGCAGGTTTATCAAAGGCAGAAGGCCCTTTTTCGAATTCCTCTTGGGCGTTCTCTCTTTTTTTCGGTGCTGCACTTTGGAACATGTAGCCAGTCTACTCATCCATTTCTAACCATGACCAAGATCCTTTACTTGGGGATCCCTTATTTCAGGTTTTGGACATATGGTAAAACATGTGTTTTTTTGTTTTTGTCAAGTGATGTTTGATCCTTTGTGGTGTCATGTGGGCATGGCTGAAACAACATGTCACGCAGCAGCTATCAACTGGTGCCGTGGATGTCGGCCGTTTGGATGTCGGAGCCACTTTTCTCAATCGGACCATCGGATCCTTAGGGTCTCACAACCATAGGTGTCCTTTTTAGGTGAGCCTGGCTAAAAATAGATGGCACTGGTTCAGATGGGTTTTGTTCCATTTACCAGGGCCATCTATTTTTCCAAAAGGCCACCTATGGTCACAACGACTCTTGGCCCAAAGGGTTTGGGGAGCCGAACCAACAGGTTTCACCGCGTGGGACCCTGGGATAAAGCATTTCCGGTCGTGTTATGCCAATTGGGGTCAAAGAGGTTGGTTCAACAAAACGAACAGACCCCCAAAGTATTTCCGGCGAAGGGTACCCCAGTGCTTCCTATCACGTGGATGTGCGTCAAATCACTTTGGCCTTTGGTTTCCCTGTAGAAACCAACCTCAAACCACATGTAAAACGTGGCGAGGCCCTGGTGAGACGCCTGGAAACCGGGTCACATTTGTTTGTTGGGGAGTCCTTTTTGACCCGGAGGTTTCGACTGCTGGTGGGCCGGGGTGCACGGGGAGACGGCCAGCGTCACCCAATGCTACGAGCCCAGGCCGGACACACACACCCCAAGGATTTCGTGGCAACCGGGTAAAACGGCCGTTGGAGCCCACTCAGGAAGTGGAGGCTTTTTCTTATGGGTCCCCTTCTCGCATTGTGGCGTTCCCCGTACGTCTTGCATGGCCAAACCCTAGAAATCCAATACCCGCCGATTTCGGACGCTTGTTTTTTTCCCGCGAGCTAAGGTTTCGAGAGAAAACAGGAAAAACAAAGCCTCGCTAAATATCCCAAGAGCCTCACCAAGTTTCTCGCACAAACCAGGCGACTCAGGAAATTTAATACAAACAACAGGGAACTCCTTACATTAAGACCACAACCCAGGAGACTCACTCAACACGCCAGAATCGCCAGAAAAGCGGAGAGGGATTCCCCAAACTTCCCGATGCTCCGCATGAATGGGCCCAGGTTCGAGCAGATCCTATGGAGCAGCTCGGGCCAAGGGGAGGGAATTTGGGTATAGTGCGTTCACTGGTGGCCGCCCAGTGCGTCAACTGGCCCTTCACATAGGTGTCCTTTTTAGGTGAGCCTGCTTTAAAACTAGATGGGTTCCACTGGTTTAGATGGGTTCGGTTCCATCTACCAGGGCCATCGATTTTTCCAAAAGGCCACGGCTCTTCATCCTCGAACTGTATTAGCGCCATGGGCCTTGAGAGGCACATGTTTGTCTCTCCGCCAGCTCGTGGACTTCCATTTGCTTAAGATGTTTCTGAATGTTCCCCGGGCGTTGGTTTTAAAGGGAATCTATCACTTTTGGAAATGTGTTGTTTGTTTGTTTTTTCCCCAGGGGCTTAAGCAAATGGAAGTGGCAGTTTTCGCCCACTGAGCACGTCGCCCTTGTGCGCCTATGGCCTGCCAGTGCTTGGTTTTCTTGGCGGTTCTCTGCCACGTGTTAGAATTTTAGTCACATAGCCCACAGGTTTAACCTGGATCAACGAGCCACTAGGTCTAAAATAATCTCGCGCAAAGCGACCGCGTGTTTTCTTCTTTCTCGAGTACAGGAATGGGGCGCGGGAAGTCATGAGTGACTGGTGGTGGCAGGGTTGCAGGTTTACCATGGGGAAGATTATTGGTGTCGCTCCTTTCCATGTACCAGGGTTCCATTTTGGGTACCTATTTTTGACCCATATAATATATTGCTACAAAAGAACCCGGATTTCACCTGACACTTTGCCAATATGTTCTACTTAAGCTTAGGGCAGCAGTGTCTCGCAGCTCGCATCACTCTGCTGTTCCTCAGCCCCTCTTGCCCCTCCCTTTGTCGCTCCTTTGCTTCCCCCGAACACCGACCCAACAACATGGTGCAGCATCCACCGCCCCCCAACCCCCCTGCCCCTGATTTCCTCGAACGAAGGCCTTCTTTGGGAGCCCGGGGGAGGAAGGTGGTGGAATTGGGAGAGGGGCATGAAAAACAACTTCTTTGCAGAAGCGGGGTTGGGTGAGGTTTGGATCCCATGATTGGCTATTCCTTTGCTCTCCCCTCCCGACTGAGCAATGAATTATTATTATTCGTATGTATCATAGGATCCAATCCACGCCTATTTGTTTCCCCATTGTCAGGTGGGTTCCCCAATGTCTTCTTCTTCGGCCGTCACTACACTGAGGTAATGTCGTGTGCGTGAAGCGTGACGACGTGTGGTGGCACGTCCTGGAGTCCAGAGATCCAAATGCCAAAGGATGACTTCCTGGCCAGACTCGCTGGTGAGTTGCTGGCGACAAAATTCCCAGTTACTCTTGCTGGTCAGCAGGGAATGAGGGATTGACACCTATAGCCTATAAACCATGCCCTATGGTTCCTCTAAGGGAATATGTTACTTTCTCAACTTTAGTGCTCTTAAGCACAATGTTTGTTGTTTTTGTGTGTTCGGCTTTTTGGTTCATTTTAGTAACTTGTTTGCTACCATATCCACGGTTGTGAAGTTAAGAGAGCACCACAGGGTCGGTAATTATTTAGTTTGTCCAGCCTTCCCTATTTAGAACCCGTTTATTATCCTTGTCGGTTGTACAAGGAAATGGTCATGACTGGGGGTTTTGTCCCCCCCTTGGAATACTTTTGCGAGGAGAACAAAAGGGAACCGCATACACAGAATGGTGTCCCCTGTCTTTCAGAAACACCGCATTGTGTGTGTGTGTGTACCTTTGCTAGTGTGTTTGTTTGCTTGCTTGTTTGTACTGCTCAGCTCGGTTTGAAGGGCAACGAAAAGGACAACCGCAATTCTTGTTGGCTCCGCCTGTTTTTGACGCACAGAAATACCGCAATGTTTCGGAGGCACCTTAATGACCAACGCTGCAGCCACCAGCTTAATCCGAGCTGTGGCACTTGCCGCGGGCTCAGGCGACCCGTTGGTTAAACAGGTTGGGGTGGGAAAACCAGTCCAGGGGTTTTGGGGCGCTTCGACCTCCATTCTGGGATTATGGGCCCCAAAACCAGGTGGGGAGGGGGAGCAAAATGTCCGGGTCGCCTGCGGAGCGGCACCTCCTTTCGAGGGTTTAGACCGGGGCGCTGTCTGACACGCTCTCTGAATCGCAGAAAGAAGGCGTGCGCCGATGTCTGGGCTGCAGATGTCGAGAGCGGGCAGAGAGCGAGTTCTTTTCATGGGCTCGGATTCTTTCATGCCCCGAGTTTCAGCAGTCAGTTTTGATGGTCACGATATTCAATTTGTTCCAAGGCTCCAAGCCTCTCAAAACCGACCAAAACAAGAAGGGACGATGGAATTGTTTCAAAATAACCACAGAGGGGGTACCTGAAAAACGTGTTGCAACCAAACACGTCCAGTGGATGGGAACCGCATGCTGCCGGGACTCGCAGAACTCAAATTTGCGTCTGCGACAACAGAACAAACACGCGCCTCGCGAATTTTCATGGGCACCGACTCTCATCAGTCCGACGCGTTGGCAAAGGGGAAATCATAGGTTTGGTGGCTTCGGGATTCGAACCCCTGGTTCTTGGAGAGGACAAATGGGAAGCCGACCCAGAACCCCCCAATCACTCAAATGAGGGAAGCTGAATTTTCTTGTTATGGTTCCGACAAATCCCTCCGAAAAGACACCCGCCGGGCCCCTATGTTTGGGTTTTTGGGGAGGGCAGCGCATAGAGAGAGAGAGAGAGAGAGATTCGCCGGCCTGCACAAACGACCACGTTGGATCTCAGAGGGAGACGGGGCACCAAAGAAAATCACAGAATGACACCAATGCAGGGTGCCATGTTTATACATGACCCACCGGATAAACAATTTCCACTTGGGCAGCCAAAGAAAGAAACATGACAGCCACTTCTTAAACTCATGTTGTTCATTTGTTGGAAGTGAGCCAAGTTGTTTTTTTCTTCTGAGGATGGACAATCTCAGCCGCATACCTTTCTGACGGATCAATCAAGCTATGCAAATTATGGGAGAGTCGAAGGGCTGCAATCAGCAACACATGTATCGGAGGGGTCCCGGTCCGCATCAATTCAGCCCTTATATGCAATTCCTACGGCTTCTGTTGCCGGAATGTAGACAAAATCCATTTGTGGTTTATCCCGGGTCCTCATAGGATGTCATCGTGGTGCAAAGTGGAATTTATTCACCTACCCAGAACGTGGACCGCATGTCCAGATCAGGCAGAGCCCCTCCCCTTTTGCCTGCTTGTGCGGGGGGACGTCTCTTCAAATACCAAATCAGCACCCCATTCACCCATATGTCTGGGATAGCTATGGTGCAATGGTGTGTGTGAGTGTGTCTTTCCCGCAAATTCTATTTGTCAAGGAGTTTACAGCTGGACTGAAGGCATTGAAGGCTTGGCGTTTAGTTACTCAAGATTCACGTGGTATTTAAGTACTCAAGATTCACGTGACGGTTTCAGGTTGTACTAACGGAGTCCACAACGGTCATGAATTTTGACCGCCGCTTGTGTGACATCCGACATGCTAGCAACTTGGTGGTTGTGCTCCGCACGAGATATCCGCCTGTAACGGGGTGGCTCACTTCTTCCCTTCGTTCTTTCCTTCGTTCTTTCCGAGCTTGATGAAACATATCAATCACATGATGTGGTCAAACGTTTCGGTTGCTTGTTTTGTTGCTTTCTTGTTATTGTGTTGTTCAGCTGGTCTGTCAGCTCGCCTTTACATTCATGAAAATGGAGGAGACTCCTTGTGAACACCACAATGTTAACCTAGGATTAATAAACCCCTGGTTGATTAATAGGGGGGTGCCCAATTCCTTTTAGGGATTCAGACCACTTTTGGAGGTTTGACCCCCCTAATAATGGGACGGGTTCTACTTAGATCCTGGGCCAACATTAGTCTTTCCAAACTCTCTGCGTTCAATGCGGAAGGTACCAACCTAGGGAGGTGGATTCTCTTTAAGCGACGGTGAGAAGGGTCCCACACGTCACACGTCACACATGTTGGAATGCCTGCACTTGTCAGCTGAGGTTCCCGGACGGTGAGCTGGGCTGATGGGTAGACGTTTTCCATGGAAGTGGACCATTACAAGGGTTGGAAGCCTTACCTTTGGGCCACACTTTTCGTGGTGATTGAGGTTGTGGGATTTGAACCCCTGGTTTCTCTTGAATCCCAATAAGAAGCGGCCGCCAACCTTCAAACCAACCCACACTAGCACTGGGGGGGAAGCTGATTTGGGGTGTTGGGACATCCAATGGCCCGACGCAGCCCGGAACGCGGGTTTTTCAGGGTCGCGTCAGATGCGCTGCAAGGCGACAAAATCGAGCGCAGGGTAAGGCAAGGGTTCATATCAGGGCTGGGCAAAATTGGGTGGAATCCCTGGAACCTTCAAACCAGACCTTGGCACCCCTTCAAGGGGTGCTTGGCCGATCCCTGGTTCACATGGAGGTAGAATAATTCCGTGGAAACCCTCTCAAAACCCTTTGTCACAATGCGAAAAGGTCAACCCGGTGCAAATGCACAAATGACACACTTGGCAGATTCAACAGGGACTTGCAGGGGTTTACAAATCTGGGGACTACCTTCTTTCCAACCGTAGTACGAACTCAAAGAAGGGTTTTAGAGGGGTGCAGTCCCGCTTGGGAAGGTCTACTGTGGATGGGCAAAATTCTGCACCAATTGGGATGCAAGAAACTCTAACCAGGTCCCCCAGTAGTGCCCTTTACCCTTTTTTGGGGGAGGGTTCCCCTACTAAAATAGACTACAGAAAAATAGGGTATCCTTGTTCTATCCTCTCTACTGGAGGACCTAGCCAGGGAGGACTTTTGAGCCACAAGACTTTGCCACGAAATCACACCTAGCTAAGAAACTCTAGGGGGAATCACACCTAGCAACTGGTGGCAAGTGGATTTTGTCCATCCCCAGTATCCACCTCCATTGGAACTGCCTGGATGGCGGGGACTCATCAAGTGGAGACTGTGGATGGGCGCGGGAAACCTTGCAATGTGTCGATTCCCCTTCAAGTACTGAAGCGTTATGGTTTCAACCATGGTTTCATTTCGTGTGACCTGGTTTTCACAATCCTCGTAGGGGGCCCCTAAAATGTTTGTTTTGCTCCTGGATCCCCTTTAGAGCAACCCACTGATAGATCCCCTTTCACTTGGATGTGCACGGTATGAAACCAGACTCATACCCTTTCACGTGGAACCTGACGTTCGGGACCCGGTCACCGGTGCCTTTCGAAGGAACATGGTCCAAACCGGGACCGATTCCCCGAACGTCAAGTTCCATGTTAATTGGTGGGAGGGTAACTCCCATTTAGTCCAGTGATGGGTTGTAACCTAAAAGGGTTGAGCATTCAAGGTGAACGTTCCTCTCGATTCCTTTGAGTCCATAGGAGCCCCGCAGGGACCCCAACTAGGCCTTCAACCCCCAAAGGCCTCAAATGAGGTCCTGGGCTCCTAGGGAGTGGTGTGGGTCAGCCAAGTACCGCACTGCACGGCGGAAACTTTTCGCCAGCGCCAGGCTGAGACCGGGGCCGAGCCATCGAACGCCCGTACCATCCTTAGATGAACACGGCAATAGACGTCGGCCTCCTGGTGGTTTTGGATCCCTATTTGTGAGCACGCAAGTGGAAACTGATGTTTGGGGGGGTCCTGGAAGACTTTTTTTCCTTTAACATGGACCCTTTGGTGGGTTCCATGTTTGTGGACAGGAGGGTAAGTTGTATTTTTGAGGGTACCCTTTGCGTGGCTGGTTTGAAGGGAAACGGAAAGTAAACCAACCATTTTGAGGGTCCCCCTACCCAAATCACATAGCTTGTGGGGAGCTTTACCACGAAATTAAGTCAGAATCACAGGGCAAACTTTGACAATGTTTTAGCGGAGGGAATATTCGCAAGTGATTCGCCATAATTTCATGTGTTGCCCTCAAGGTTCAGAAACATGCAGGGTGCAGGGTCCAAAACTGAATCGATCGCCCCTTTCTTTTTCGGCAAGCTTCAACTAGGTTCCCTCCCCAGTTTGAGAAGTTTGTTGGTCCAGGTAGGGGCACCCTGCAAAGGGTGTCTATTGAGTTTCCTTTAAAACCACCCCAAGAAATTTGAGGGTACCCTCAAAAAAAGCTCAGTCCGCAAATGTGACAGGGCGTTCCTTGACCTTCGCGGTCATTTGGCTGTGAAAGTACCCCCTAAAGAAAAGGTTGCCCTGGTAAAATCGACGCATGAACAACAGCCTGCGGGTTTGACCCTCACTCTAGCGGTTGATTCCCCATTCTTTTCAACCATCGTTCTTTCCAAAACCGGTCGTTCTCCCTGGGTTTCCGGAGGTTTTCTAGAAAGAAGGATCCCTGGAAAGAATGGGGAAGGTCACGCATTTGGGTTTC